ACCCAGAGCTGGGATGTGAATAATTAACGTGGATCCAGGGCTGGTAACTGCATGCCCGTCACGCTCCACATCAGCTGGCCGTGTGACAGGGGCAGCCTGGAGGTGTCCCCAGGGCTGCAGGAGGCTGGCAGGGGCCGGAGCCAGCTCCTTGGGGGTGCAGAGGGGCTGGAAAGCTGCTGCAAGTGCTCACCTGCCTCTCCCTGGCTCTGTTGCAGAAGGACAAGAGGACACCATCCTGTCGTACGAGCCGGTGACGCGGCAAGAAAGTAAGTCCTGGTGCAGAGCTGCCCTGTGGCCGCTCCTGCATGGGCACCGGTGTCCCCAGCACAGCCAGGGTGACCGCTGCGACTTCCTCCCCTCCTTTGCCATACTGGCATGACGCCGGGTGAACACAAATGGCATTTCTTGCCTGTTCCGTGCAGCAGGGCAGCCAGGCGGGGCTCTCCCTGGCCTTGATCGCCCCATTTTAATCAACAGAAAAGACTTGTGACCTGCTCTGCAAGACCAAGGGAGAGATCCAGAGCTAAAACGGAGCTGGGCTTTAGTCTCAGCTGAGGATGGGATTATCCCTCCCTGCCTAGGGCCAGGTCCCTGCTGCAGAGCAAGCCCCCCTCCCAGCTCTCAGCATTTAACCGTGCTTGATGCTCAATCTCTGTAGACCCTTCTGCAGGCTGAATAGTCCCAGCCTCGGTGGTCTCTCCTTGCCAGAAGCTGGATCAGACTCTTAGGCTCTCGTCACTCCCCCAGCTTTGTGGCGTCCTCGCCCAGCTGTCCCAGTTGTCTGGCTCCTGCCCCTGAGCGAGGGAGCAGCTTTGCTGATCCATGACCCTGGAGATGCGCAGCACCTTCTCTGGGGCTGCACAGATGGTTTGGGTCAGGTGGGAAGGAGGTGTTGACCGTGACCAGGAGGAGATAAGCTTGTGCAGAGGAGTGAGCAGGAGCACGCACTGCCAGCAGGGAGAGGGCAGGTTGATGCCCAAAGCTGCAGTAGGGTCAGCTGCCTGCAGCACAGATGGGGCCTCAGGTTGTGGCTCTTGTTCGCAGTTCACTACGCGAGGCCAGTGATCATCCTGGGGCCGACGAAGGACCGAATTAACGACGACCTCATCTCTGAATTCCCACACAAGTTTGGTTCCTGTGTGCCCCGTAAGTCCCAGCTGGCGCTCGGTGCCCTTGCTGGAGGGAGCCTACTCATTGCAGGGGCGTTGGACTAGATGACCTTAAAGGTCCCTTCCAACCCAAAGATTCCATCATTCTACAATTTTGTGGAGGGAGGGGAGAGCAGTGGCTCTGCTACTTGCAGGGTCTAGCCCGCGGCACGGGGAGGGGACTGGGAGCACGAGTGGGTTTTCTCCCTCCAAGGAGGCTTGGCGTGCATCACTCGGTGCGCTCATGATGCCTGCTGTCCTCCAGACACTACCAGGCCTCGGCGTGAGAACGAGGTGGACGGACAAGACTACCACTTCGTCGTATCCCGCGAACAGATGGAGAAAGACATCCAGGACAACAAGTTCATAGAGGCTGGACAGTTCAATGACAATCTGTATGGGACCAGCATTCAGTCAGTGCGGGCAGTGGCAGAGAGGGTGAGTGTCGGGGGGGATTCCTGGGACCCGGCGCA